GATGACAGGGTGATTAGTGTCTTTGCATGAAGTCTCTTTCCAATAATTCCGTACGCGAGTCCAGACTCAGGCATAAGCGCGTGTGCTTATGCCTGAAAGATCAACACACCCCGGTCTAATCGATGGAGAGTTAGGAAGATGCATTTCCATCCCACAATTTGGCTTTCTAATGCTTGCTGATGCAATGCAGTTAATAAACAAGAAGAACTTAGAAAGCTGCTGGAGGAAAATTCTCAGAGAGGAAGTTTTCCATTGCTAATTGTCTCATTTTAAAACTTGGAAAAATGTTCTATTCGACAAGACATTTCTAGTGATCTAGTACATATTCTCATCAGGTAATTCTCTTCCTTACATTTTTAAAACAAAGACTTGTACAAAAGTGATAAAGATGGCATCATCGCTGGCATTGGCATTTATATCCTCTGCTTGTTACATCATGAGATAGTTGCTTTGAAAGGGGATTTTAGGTCTTAAATGGGAGCAAACTGCCAAGTTAGGAGGGAGTGGAAGAAACAGAGGAAAGAGGATGTCAAGACTGTCTTATCAGTCATAGGATTCTAAGAATAAAAATCAGAGAAGAAATCATTAGAAAATACAAATTAGAAGGGTGTATATCATGGAGGCTGAACTAATTCCAAATAGTGTTTTCCCCTCTAAAGTTTTCCATAAGATGTCAGCCACTTGTTGAGTGTTAAAATACTCTTCAGCTAGGGAATGCTGTATTTCCTTTGGCATTCCAGGCAGTTTCTAACCAGTGTTTGGAACTTAAAGCCAATGCCAAGCCTAAACACATCTGGTTGATTCCAGGCCACAAATAGCACTGGAATGCCTTCAACACCTTCCATAGCTGCCATACTTAAAAGTTTATTTCCAAAATAGAACTGACAAAAAAAAAAAAAAAAAATCATCAGCCTGATGCTCCAGAGTTAGTCAGAAATGTGTCATGTAGAGTGCCCTGGATCACTGTGACATATATGAACTTGTGTCCTTTATTTCCTAATACAAACTTGCATTTCAGCAAATTAAATTAAAACCCAACAGATCCAATCCCATTTTCGTTTGCTAAGTATCATGTTATAAGTTTAGGTACCCATTCTACACACTTTAGGTATTCAGTTATATGGTGATATAAAAATCTCAATCAGTAATTATATATTTTTAGATAATGTTATTGAATGCCTCCAGGGCATGCCACTATTCAGAAAAATGCTGTAGACTGCGATATGTTATTTCATTAATGGTCTTTATTTAACTGGAACGTCCACTAGAAATTTAGTGATGATAAATGTAGTAAGGTACAATATTAGAGTAGAAAGAAGTTATTTAACTTGGAAGAGTGGAAATCAGAAAGATATTTGTTGGTGACTACCATTTATACTGGAAATAAAGACAATTCTAATAACCTACTTCAAGGTAGCTCATACTCTGAAGAAAGCAAGTATAATTCAAACCACACAAGAACTATTCCTTAACTTTTGGAAAAGATGTTTTGAATGAGGTAAACTGGATAACAGAGAAACCCAATGGAGTGCCAAGAGTCTGCAAAGATAGCATGCTTTTCAATTTGGAAAGACACCGTGGTGGGAAGTTTGATTTAAGAGGAAGCAGAAGTGTATTTGGGAAAAAGACAAGAGGTTTTGTCTCCCAGGAAACTTCATGTCATTATGTTATGAATTTGGTCTCTCTTGTGTGGACTTGGACCTTAAAGGAAAGGAAGATATCAGGAGAAAGGATAAGATATTTCTAGTCGCAGCAGTTCATCCATAGGGGCAGGATGGTGCAGTGTTAAATGAATCTGATTATCTGGGTTCACATCCATCGTTTATGACAGGCTGTGCATTCTCAGGCATGTTAACTTCTCTCAGGATCGGTAGGTAAAAGGAAGATCATTTGGGGACCTAACTCCCAGACTTGGCATAAAGAATAAGGAAGACAACTTATATAAAGCGTTTAGCACAAGGATTGCACATAGTAGGCACTCAGGTAATGTTAGATCATTTTATTCTTATTCATTAATACATGTTCAATAATTTCTCAAGTTCTAAGCAGGACGCATGCAGCAGGAGCAGAGTACATGGAAGTAGTAAATCTGAATAGAGAGAAGAGAAATTGTAGATGAAAATTTTCTTGATGCTCTAGTTGCTACAGCGTGCATGGGCAAACTGTCCTACAACCTCTTTTGGATACTAACGTCTCATCAGCTCAGGAACACAAAAAGGTCAACTACTTAGCTGACTTCTGGGAGAGACTGTATGAATAATTTTGAATGAACATTACAGTTGATATGGCTTTCTTTTCCAAAGCAACAAAACACAGAGCAGTGTCCAGAGAGAGAGCAAGCATTCTCTGTTACAGGTTTCCAGGCCTGTTAGCAATGCTTCGGGCATGCCCACTAAACTGCAGTCTGTCTTAGAGATATGCCTTGATTATAGGCATTCAATTTTCAGAGAACTCATTTGATAAGAAACAGTATGCTTATAATAGGCATATATTAATCCTGCAATATGAATTGACAATCTGAAAAAATAAAATGTTCGGTTATGATATCAAACAAAGGATAGAATCTGGGAGCAGGTGAGAGTTTTGACATATACCTTATACTAAATAGTCTACTGATCTCCAGAAGTTTCAGTGGTAAGTATTTAATAAATTCAATTTAAATAGTAACTGACTTGGACATTCATCTCTTTTTAACTTGTTTTGTTGGTTTACCTGATTCAAATCAAGATGTCCTAGAATTAAGTTTCCACATGACCAAGATTCAGAACATCCAAATTGATACTGAGTGAATCAAACTTTCTTAGGGTAAATATTTTCTCTACTATCTAGATTTGTGATTCACCTGACAGCTAGAATGATAACTGAACTTAATAATAAATGAAAGGTTTGTGGTATGAAAAAAATTACCATATAACTGAGAAACAAAATTGACTGGTAAATTTATTTAAAACTTAGACTTATCTACTCAAAAGTAGAAACATTTGTATCACTTTTCTAAATAAGGTGGGTTTAAAAAGCACCTACCATGACGTCTCAACAGAGAAAGCACTCAATAAAGGTCAGATTTAAATTTTAGTAGAATACAAACGAGTTCTTGACAGTGCCTAACAGGAGTTTCAGAGTTTTTAATTTCACAGTCCTTGTTTGTGACAATTAATTCTGTTGAAGTCAACATCTATATAGTGTTTCCCTCCTCTGTCCCGGTCCCAGGTCCCAGGAAAAGCAAGCAAGCAACAAGCCATTGGTAAGAAAAATGAAGCATGATGACTTTGGTATCTGCCTAGGAAATAAATTGAGGCAAAAAAAAGCACTGGGTCCCAAGAATAAGTAGCTCATGATTTCCTTCTTAAGTTAAACGATTTTATATGTAAAATTGTAGACAGATATCACAAACACACTTTACCAAGGACACATTCATAATCAATGCATAATGAAATGATGATTCAATTTTATTTCCCAACCTTAGAATCAATCAGTCCCAAGACAATTATCACTTAAAATTTTCATCTTACTGCATTCTCAAAATATTACTAGTGCTTAATGTAAACAAATGAAAGGCTAGTGGGATAGGAACTATCCCACATGTTCAACTGGGATAGGAACATGGACTAAATTTCCACATATATCACATCGATAGAAAATTCATGAAGAACTTGATTTGAATAGAACCTAATACACTGACAGTAGTAATGTCATGAGATGTTTGGTCAAGTGACCAAAAAGTTAACACGCTGGAAACTTGACAAGTTGGAAAGCCAACAGGAAGATAATTAATCACAAGTTTAGAGAAACCATTGAATGATTAGCATCTTGTTGCTAGGCAATGTGTCCAGGCAGCAGCTCTCACATCTTGAAGGAGCAGAATATTTTATTTTTACTTTAAAAAATAAAGTTATTTATTTATTTATTTATTTATTTATTTATTTATTGAGACAGAGTCTCACACTGTTGGCCAAGTTGGAGTATAGTGGCGTTATCTTGGCTCACTGCAAACTCCACCTTCTGGGTTCAAGCGATTCTCCTGCCTCAGCCTCCCGAGTAGCTGGGATTACAGGCATGTGCCACCACACCCAGCTAATTTTGTATTTTTCGTATTTTAGTTTCTCCATGTTGGTCAGGCTGGTCGCGAACTCCTGCTCTCAGGTGATCCACCTGCCTCTGCCTCCAAAAGTGCTGGGATTACTGGCATGAGTCACCACATCAGGCCTGAAGTTTATTTTTCAAAGAAATTATGCATATTTGTGTTTGTCAACTTTTGGGCTTCTCAACTATCTACAGACCTATGAAAGTTAAAATTCTCTAATTTATAAGAAGTAAATATATTGACTGGATGTCAATGTGTATGATAGCCCTCACTAAAATAAAAGTTGTACACTCACCGTGTAGTAAATCATAGAGTTTGCATATGGTCATATAATAAAACCAATCAGAGAGGGAAAGATGCCTTCAATGATGTGCCTATTGTAGCTGAATAATGGAATACAAAATATATGTGAGGTTGATTAAAATATTAAAATTAAAGTAAAATTTAGGTATGAAAATATCTTCACTTTGTAAATGCTTAAGTAGCACTTAGTACTAAAGAAAATATCTATGCTAAAAGAAAATTTTGATATTTCAAACATTGAATTATATAACACAAGTATAAAAACTGTTTGGATTTAGATTGGGTTGTCTTTAAGGTATCATTAAACTTTTAAAATAATAACAATGAATATCAGACAGCTAAAGAAAAAGAAAACTGCATTGGTTGGAGTAAGAGCCCCCTTATTTATCAATCTTGTTCTTTTCACAAAACCCTCCCCACACTCTCAGGCTGATGCTGGTCACTTGCGCTGCCTCCAGCACGTGCCCAGTGAGGAATAATGGCCAATGATGAGTACAAGTACTTCCCAAAGACAGTTTTCAGTGACAGGAAAGAATGCCATATGTCTAGGCAATCAAAATATGGCAGGAAGTATTCACTTTCCCTTCGCCTTTTTTTTTTTTTTTTTGAGATAGAGTCTCACTCTGTTGCTCAGGCTGGAGTGCAGTGGCATAATCACGGCTCACTGTAGCCTCCACCTCTTGGGCTCAAGCCATCCTCCTACCTCAGCCTCCCAAGTAACTGGGACTATAGGCTTGAGCCATCACGTCCAGCTAATTTTTAAAAAATAGTTTGTAGACTCAAGGTGTCGCTATGTTGCGCAGGCTGGTCTCAAACTCTTGGGCTCAAGCAGTCTTCCTGCCTTGGTCTCTCAAAGTGCTGGGATTACAGGCGTGAGCTGCTGCACCTGGCTCACATTCCCTTTTCTGTCTTCTTTCTTTTTCTTCTGTGCCTCTTCATCACTTTTCCCCAAAAAAGCTTTTCCCCCCAAAGTGTTCGGTTAATTTTTTTCCTCTATATTGAAATGTTTGACACTAGGCTTCCTGGTTTAGAATGAGTTGTTTTCCTATACTCCCCTATTTTTTTCGTTTCCTCTTGCCAATATTTTGATTGAGATCCTACACTTTTTTTCCCCCAATCCAGGGCTAATAGAGCATGCCAAATTTCTAGTGGAGAAGAGTTGGAGATGGGCTAGACGCAGGGATGAGGTTCAGCTACCCTGTTGTTCAGGGAGGTGGGGATGGAGCCGGGGAGGAAACACAAGTGGAGCTCGACCACAGAGCTGCAGATCTTGGGTTGTGGGAAGTAATATTAAATGACATTATGGTACTTCATCTTTCTTTTCAAAAATTAACCCACTATCTCTCTACTCATAGTGAAGAATTAGGTTGTTTTCTTGTCAACTCTTTGTAATTGCTGCTAATTAGTAATGCATGACTTGGACATATACTAATTAAAATTTAGAAAGTTTGACTTCAGTCTTCCAAATATAGGTGGTTTCAAGTAGCTCATCTGATCTATTACTTTTCTTTTATGACACTAATGCTTTTAGTTCTTTCAAAATGTGGCTAATTGAAAAGAAAACCAAACAAAATTACCCCTAAATTACGGCCTTCTTGGTGTTTTGGATGATGAAACTAATGTATTACTGTCTGAATTTCTTATTAGATTTTTACATATCTAGGTTCATCTTAAGCTTTGAAACTTAAGAATTTGAAGATATTTTCAATAACTGACTGTGTCGAGCCATTTCATTGCCTTGGCCATCTGACTGTCCCTTTGACATGATTTCCAAATTTGGTTTACAGAATAACTGGAAAGATATTAAGACAAGCACACTCATAAATACATGAATGATCCAATAAACAGGCAACAAAAAAGTCCTCCCGAGCTCGGCAAAAGCATTATTTCTTCCTTGTTGAAGGTATCAGCATATGTTACATCTTATGTTGCACAAGTGTGCTCATTAAATATTATGAAATGTACAGCAGGCCGGGAAGCTCTAATCAGCTAGGCAAAGTCACTCATACCTGTGTGTTCGTATTTATGTCGCAGAAGGGAACTGCTTTTCTGGAATGTCTTGTCACATAAGTCACATGCATACATGCCACTCTCTGTCTTCTTGATCTTCTTGCGAGACAGACAGGAGTCGGAGTCTGTCATGTCATCTAGGCCTGACATGTAGTCTTGTGCTCCATCAAGCAATTCTCCCTGTGATAGAATCACACAGTTCAATACAGTGACTTCTCTTTGCGCTCACACCAAACAACTTTGTATAGGCTGACATTCGGAGAACCTCAAAAGTGCCTGCTACTAATCGATCTAGTTAAACAATTTCCTTTTCCATGAACAATATATGAGGTCTCACACTGCAACAAAAATATAAACTTCTCTGCTCTGGAAGGTAGAGCTCTTTGTTTTTCAAGGACAGAAAATGGTCAACTCTGAAGGTGAGAGAAACAAATTTTTCTAAAATCCTTCATTTGCTTTATACCTAGAAATACCCATAAATGAAAATTTAACATTGAAATTTGTGTATTTTCCAGTGTGCTTAACTCTAGAAATGATCTGTAGCTGTAGAAACCCGATTTTAATTGAATTTTATATTTAGGTACAAAATGTTATTATTATGCAATCTATTTAAATGTATGTCTACCAACTAAAGGCCTCAAGCTATATTTTTATATTTAATTTTCTAATTTGAAATAGGGAATATTAATAACACTTTTTATCAATGTTCTATGTTAAAACAGCCTTCAGCATTGAACAATAATGAATGTGGATCAGTAAATTATTAAATTTCTTGATATTTATTTTGTCTTGATCCAAAGGAGTGCAAACGTGCATGATAACATACATTTCCACTTGCTAGCCCACAGTTCAGTTTTCTTAGACTATGTTTGCACTAATTAATATTAGAGAAGATTAAATAGGCTTAAATACATTTACAAAGAGGGCAGATGTACTGTAAATTAGAATACTGGAACAGCTGTTACAGAGGTGGACGGCTACTTATGCTCCTATTTTGCAAACAAAGATTATATGCTGCATAATGTTAAAATATACCTGCCTTCCTATTTGATAAAGCATAATTATTAACTACTTTGAAGATTTGGTAAGAGGTCATGTGAAATATGGAAGACATTTTAAAAAATACTCTTCAAAATAAACCATTCTGTGTAAAACAAAAGTATCTATTAAAATGTGTATATGTATTATTGCAAGTTGTGCACATCTTTACATTTATTTATTTATTTATTTATTTGAGATACAGTCTTGCTCTGTCTCTCAGGCTGGAGTGCTGTGGCATGATCTCTGCTCAACGCAACCTTAGCCTCCTGGGTTCCAGTCATTCTTCTGCTTCAGCCTCCCAAGTAGCTAGGATTACAGGCATCCACCACTACACCCAGCTGATTTTTATATTTTTAGGACAGATGGTGTTTTACCATGTGGGCGAGGTTGGTCTCAAACTCCTGACCTCAAGTGATCCACCCTCGTTGGCCTCTGAAAGTGCTGGGATTACAGGCATGAGTCATCACACCTGTCCTGTGCACATCTTTAAAAGCGCGTGACAGTTATAAACTTTAACTTCTAGCACCTAGGTAAGTCCTACCAAATACTGTCACCAATGTATAATTCTAAAAGCAGATGAGTCCATCTAAATCAATCTCAAAATAAATATTAATTTCTTCTTTATCCCTTTTGTTTTTAAAGCAAATGTGCTTAGAGTACAGTGATTCACTGTTTCATCCATTTTTCTAGCTCACTGACGGTTTTAGGTTCATGTTAAAGCAAACTCTTCCGTTTCTGCTGAGTTTTTTTCACTAAGATTTTTTTTCCTACATGCCCATAATCAGTATAATTACCATCTCTTTTCTTCAGAGCAGAAAAAGCATTTGTCTCTTTACCTGAAATCCTTGTTTCCGCTGGTACTTTCTCCTTTGCTGCATATCAGCAAAAGTAGCTGCTCCAGTTGGGTAGGTGTAGGCCATATGTGGTAGGAAGCTCATCTGATCCAGTCCTGGGTATGGTCGTAGCCCAGGAATACTGGTCTGGACTGGTGGCATGAAAGTAGCAGGGGGAAATGCGCTTTGAGGTGGAAGAGCTGTGTATAAAGGTTTGGCACTAAATGGGTTCATGCCGAACACTGGGTTAGTGCTTTTGTTGTCCAGATTATTTGAATTTGAAAATTCCTTCTTGATAAAAGTCAAGTTCAGAGGCTCATCTGAGTTTTCAGATGAGGAAGAAACACTATTATGGTCTAAACTGATGCTACTAGCTTTTGTTTTGTTCTTTGTGGCTATAATACTTTTGGGTTCTTTCATTTGTTTTGGTAATGACAAGTCTAAAGGCTCAGCCTGGAGCTCCTCAGAAGAGAAGCTGTTTGGAGTGTATGAACTACTGTGGGAGTTTTTAGAAGATGTGGAGGAAAGATTTAAGGGAGAAGGAGTATTACTCCTGGAGTGGTCCAATTTTTCAACTGGTTTAATATTGGTAAAATGGGAAGGTTTGGTTAGCCTGAGAGGAGGATCACAATTCGTAACACTGTTGTGGAGTTCTGCTATAGATGGTGATGTTATGGAGTCCATAGGTTTTACGGGAGACCTGGGTAATAAAGAGTCTTTTGTGGGAGGGTTACTGTTGGGAGCTAACGGCTTGGAGCTTCTTTCCAGGGATGGGGACCTGGAATTTGAGTACTGGTACACTTTCCGTTGCTCAAACCATTCCTTCACAAATTCCTGAGGAAGGCCCACAGCAATGGAAATTTTCAGCAGTTCATCGGAGTTGGGCTCCATGTTCATAGCATAGTATGCTTTGAGTACAGACATGTGGTCCTTGTATGGGTTGATGGGGCTTGTCATTCCTTTCTCAGAAAGTACAGATGACAAGAGGAGGGCTTTATTATCAACAAAAACTCCGGCTTTGTTGGGGACTATGTTTTCATGAGGCTGCAGGACCGCCTTGATCTCTTCATTCATCTTACAAAGGTAACGTTCATGCTGATGCAAAGGGATGGGGCCAGGAAAACTTTCTTTACAGAACTGGCATGAAAATGGAGTGGATATGTTGTGGTTCTCAATCATTTTGTCATCGGTGACCAAATCTATTAAAGTACGTAGCTTCTCTTTCTTTATATTACTGATCTGTCTCCTTGAGTCAGTCGTCAAGCTCTGGAGGCAAGCTTTGGCTTCATTGACTTTTTCTAACGTATAGTCAATAATACTTTTAGTGGCACCATTATGACTCACTACCGGAAGACCGACAGGCGGAATATTAGGAGAAGTAACTCCTTGTTCCTCAGGTTGAGAGCATGGATCCTTCATGTGATAACCTTTCAACTTTGAAATTTCTTCAGCCTTGCAGTCCATTTTTTGCCTGGAAACAGTATTGTCCACAATCTGTAGAACCTTTTGTACCTCACTTAAATTACTATTCATGGTGGGAAATCCAAGTAAAGGGGCTTCCATCCCTACACCTAAGTGCTGCATTGGACTCTGAGCAGATGGATGAACTCCTAAAGGGCTGGTGGCTCCAAGCCCACCATTCATAAAGGGACTAGTGCCACTAAACCCGTGTGTAGCCATAAGAACTTTATAGTCATTGAAGTCTAGTGGTTCTGTTTTAATTTTAAGTAAGCCTGTCTGTTCAGACATACTAAGTGGTTTTCCATTCTCCAACTTGTTTCTTAACTGGGTAATGGCTGAATTAGTAGGAGAAGAAGAAACAGAATTAGGGGAAGAACCCGTCTTGATATTGTTTCTCATTCGGCCATTTACAGAGATTAAACCAATACATTTCTTGCTGCTGATGTGCGAACTGTAGGAACCAGAATGGGAGAAACGTTTCTTGCAGTTTGGGCACTCGTAAGGTTTTTCACCTAAAATGATAATTAAAATTAACGTTACATTTCCTTGATTAGGTAACAATTGCAGTTGTCTACCAAGACAAGAATCTGTGAAAACAAATGAAAGGAACACAATGGGGTACCTCTACATTCTAGGTACTTAGATTAGAATTATGTAACCATAACTGTTTCTGGGCTTTATCTACCCTGGGAGAACATAATCCAAGATGTTCACAGTGGAAGGTAAGGGCTATCTATGACTTTTTCGGCTGAGATCCCAAATCTTGTCTTGCCATCGGCAGCCTCGTATTTAAACAGAGTGTCAGATTAATGTGTGGTCAATAGCACAATAAAGATGTCACGGTATTTAAAGGGAAGTGTAGCCATGGCCTTAATCAACTTTGTGGAGATTCCATTGATTCTACCAATCCAACCAGTCCTTTGAATAGCATCCAATTTGATAATAAAATGCTTGGCAGAGCTATCAAACTGGTTATAAAGAGGAAATCTCAGTGGTAGGATTCTGTTCTGTGATCCACGCCCCTCAGGAATCAGGGAATACTTATCATACATAGCTCTTATCCAAAATTCTTCACCCTTGTTTTTCATGGTGAGGTCTCAAAAATTAATATCCTTCAGAATTTGCCAGTTGACTTTCCTCAGGTCAAGAATATTTATTCTGGAGAAGCAGTTTTAAAAGGACAAAAAGGAGCCTCTAGATTTTGTAAAAAATCAAAGCATTTGTAATTTTTAAGATGTGTAAGCATTCTGCTTCTTTTTATAAGACAGTGCTACTGGTGGTACCCTAAGTCTCATGAAGACAAATCAGGCACACAGAGTTGATGAAATAAATGGATAGTTCCAAAAAGCTACAAATAGGACTGTGTAAATTTTAAACAATCTTTTAAAACTCCCCTAATTAAGTAAAATGCAAATGTGAGCTCCAGCACCTCTGCTACTCACCACTGTGAATTCGCAGGTGTTCTTTCAGATGGTGTTTATATTTGAAGGCCTTGCCGCACTCTGTGCATTTGAACTTGCGATTACCTGCTCCTTGGGTTAGCATTTGGTGCTATAAAAGGAGAAAGACTGACATCAGTTTTGTGCAGGAGGAACAAAGAAAATTTGTTATGAATATTTTTAAAAGGCCTCTATTTTTCAGACAGGCCAAAAGGTTTGAGTGCATGCTTATTTATCTGCTCAGTCTTTCAGAGTTGCAATAAAAGCGATAATGTTGGTAATAAAATTGGAACAAATAAAAAAAAGTGCTTTCACATGCGCATCCAACACTCGTTTTAGAATTATTTCTGTAGTGTCTTTTCCAAAATGTTTCTTTGAACCTTCGGGGACGAGGAAGTATAACTGTAAAGATATTTGTTGTTTTTTGTGTTTACTACAAATTCTAAAATATGAACATTCTCTGCTAGAATGTCACAATTCTGTCAAGAAAAAAATATTTTCCTGAAAATTCTGAATAGTCTCAAAAAAACCACCCCCCACACAACAAATGTTATCAATTTTTTTGTATCAGCATAAAAGTATATCTTATACTGAAGCAATCTAAAATGTAAAAAAGAAAAAAAAAAACCCAATCCCAAACCAAAAACACACAAACAAAAAAACCTTGACTATAAATATTTCATTACATGATGAGCATGTTTAAATATCCTATTCATTGTGCTAGTAGCAAATAGAAGCCTAGTTTTTCCTGAGGTGTCGCATATCAGATTTGATTCATTATCAAATGTAAGAGACAACATCTTGGGTTATAGCTGCTTGAGCAGTTTTATCACAGGCCAGTAGGAAAGACTTCAACGACTTTTCATTTTCCTTTTTAGTAGTGTGCAAGGGAGTAGGGACAAAAAAGGAAAAAAAAGTTTGCTGAAAAGACAAGTTAAAAGCAGCAAAGATATAATCAAACACAGCTGACCTTTTTGAACAAGGGGAAAAAAGCAGTGTGACTTAGAATTCTGGAAAAAAAAATGCAGTTATCCACTCTGGATGCTCAAGGTAGGAGGTCAGCCTTTTTCTAGCAGCAATGACACAAAAGCCTTTTGCAAAAAGACAGCACAGAAACGGTATGACAACTGCTAGGGTGTGCTGAATCTTCCCACATTCCTAGTGAGACAGATGGTGTTACATGGGACACAGGGAGGTTTGTTCAAACAGCAGCAACCTTCAAAGATCAAGCAGAGCCCAGCCCGCCGAGCGCCATTGAGGGACCAGCGCTCATATGTTGCTGAGTTGCATAAACAAACAGCAACAGCTGCTTTGTCTCCCCCCACAGCCCTCAGAGGACTACTATAAACTTTAGTTGTGCCACTGTTAATATGATACAATCATTTTAATTTACTAATTGTAAATGCCATGAGCAAATGAGGGGACTTTTCAACACCAAAGCTACCATTCATAATGCGCCAACACAATCACACTTCTGCATGTGAAATTTAAAGCGGTTATGCTAGATAAATATCTAGGCACTTTTTTTTTCCTAGAGTTTTTGTGCATATAAGCAAGGGGAGATAAACTGTTACATAAGTGCAACCATGCAAGAATATTTTTTATAACTCATCTTTGAAAAGTATTCAGGTGACAAGCCCAATCAGACATAAATGGAATAATTTACATGAGCTGTTCTCCTAAAATAGTAAAATTCCATAATCTAGTATTATCACCATTATTGACTGTGTTTGCTTATTCTCACTTTCCTTATTCAAAGAAAATGAAGGTTATAAGGAAAAACTAAGAATTTTGAATACAATATCATGTTCAATAATTTTAAAAACAGACATGGTGTCAAGACTTAAATTAAGTGATTCCGGATCTGTAGGGCCAGTTATTGTGACTTAAGGCACACCACTTCTGTCCATGCAAACATATCATAATATCAATTTGCAGAGTCAATCCTCCCAGGGGGACAGAGGAGTTTTGCTGTAACATTTAAGGAACACTGTGAATCAATCCTATTCAGTTGTTTTAAAGATTTAAGAAGCTATACTTAACTGTTGAAGACAGAGTTTTTATTTTTGAGACAAGTAAGCAAAAAGAGGGGGAGTAATTCTAACATCTAGCTACACATATGTATATTAAGAAGGGATCTTTTTAATGTACATCCAATGTGTTAGTACTAATCCCATTTATTACATATATATACACACAGATAATATATGTCTTTTTGATTTTCCTTAAAACACTTAATTAGATTTCATAAACTAGTAGCAGCTTATAAAAATACTCTAAGTAATTGAAGGTGTTATATGAAAAATGAAAGAAATACGCACTTCTTTTACTATGACTTAGATCCTATATGAAAAGAAAATTTCTAAGTAAAACGAGGTGAAAAATGGAATTAAAATTGCTGAGATGTTTAATAATGTATAATTAAAATGCTACAATTTCATTCACTTTTTGTGGAACATAAAAATGAAACTAAAGTCAAGTTAAAGTGCAAATAAAATTTCTAAATTAGAAATTAACACACTCATTCGATCGTGAACATAAGACTATTAAATCATATTAGAAGAGACCATCAAAAAATCATTTAGACCTCAATTAAAGCTATTACCATTAAAAGATCTGCATCTTCAAAATGCCATGAAAAATTAATAATGATTGCCAATCAAAGCAATATCGTTTCTCTAAGGGGTTATTATAGAAAGAAATCACTTAAAACCATCCCCCCACCTGATCTGTCCCTGGCTTGTGCGTCACCATATGCCGCTCGAGCTGGGTGCGGTAGGCAAACGTGTAGCTACAGAGAGGGCAGGAAAAGTTCTCTTCATTCTTCTCGTGGCGGTACTTGATGTGCTCCTTCAGTGATGTCAAGCGCTTGTAGCCCCGGTCGCAGTAGGGGCAGGTCAGCAGTTGGGCAAAAGCATCTGGAGTTCCAGGTGGCAGGTCTGTAGCCGAGAGACAGAGAGAGAGAGAAGCAGGCCAAAAGGTCAGTAAATCAATGGCAGCTAATGGGCTGACTGCCCAGGATGGTATGACAGGAATCACTGCAATCTGCTCCACAGAGTGCCATCATTGCGCCCGGCCCCTCGCACACCAGTCCCCTCGCACACCCAGGGCAGGCTTGTAGGAATCAGCTCACACTGCGCTTGAAAATTAATTAATTACTTCAGCTTTTTTTTGCCGGGGGGGGCACTTAAACAGCTGATAAATGAGGAAATTCTCTTTAGGTGACTGACAGTTCCTATGAAACCTGTAGCCATAGATTACTCAGGAACTCACAGCATAAAGGGGCGTTTCAGGTGTCGGTCGTGGAGAAGAACAAAAGGTGAGGGAGGGTCGGTCTGAACTTTTTTTTTCCTCAAAAGTAAAATATTTCAGAAAGATAGGAATACATTTAGATATTTTTATCTCTTAGAAATGGGCTCTAATTGTTCTTGTTCTTTATTGGATGTACAAATGACACAAATTTGCTGACAAAAAAATTTCACAATACCCTAAAATTACAGTTCTAATCTTTGCTCATGAAATTCCATGCCTCTGCAGCTGTTCTTCAAATTTTAAGGTAAACACCCAGGCATGTAGTGCATTTGTAATTGTAACAGCTGCAGAGGTCAGTGTAGTGGCTAAAAATGATTTACAGCCTCACCATTTTCTTCTTGCCCATTGGCCTCTGGCGTGCCAAGGCGAGACAGCTCCTCAGGGGCTTCTGGGTAAATAATGGCTGTGTCACTGCGCTGAAGGTACTCCTCGATGCTGACTGCATGACCATCGCGTTCCTCCAGTTTTCTTTTGGCAAAGTATTCCTCAAAATCTGATGTGCAATTTGCATTCTTCACTGAAATCATAAAAGGAGAAGAAATGTCTTTTCCGGGCCTTCTTCCTAGGAGCCCAAGTCCATCTCCATCCTAGCCAGTGAGAAATACTGACTTGCAATAGACTACGAAACCTAGATTATTTGTAAGAAGTGTTGAAGATGACCAGTTATTGACTGAATGTTTATTCTTGTAATATATGCAAGAAGTGGGGGAGGAGGGGGCACTTTCCTTCAATTAAATACGCACATTTTATTTTATTTTTTTTCTTCCTGGAATATTAGTCTGTATACATTCTTACAAAGAATGAAAGAAATTTAAAATGTTTTACATAAATTTTTTTTAAATGCCAACAATTGTATTCTAAGATCCATAAACATTAAAGATAATATAAAATTAAGGTTATTTTAATAGTCTATCTGAAATTTCCTTTTCTTTTAAGAAAGGTATATTTAATTTTTCATTGTCCACTAGACTGAACGTCCCTAACCACAGATACATCCTGTTGCTAAATATAAGCTTTTAACCCTTCACCCTCTGAATGTCACAGACAGCCAGGACTACACAATCTGAGACAGATGAAAAAGGAAAGATATTCCTAGACAGATAATAATGCAACTTTGTTAAAAAAAATCACCAGAATGTGGCATTTTATCTTTCCCTATAATTTTAATCTTTAGTTCAGTATTTTAAAGCTGCTGAAAATAAAATTAAGCTCACAACTGATAGAAATAAAATAAAAAATAACAGAGGGAGTTAAGAAACTGGTGTGTGATTTTGATGTGACTTTAACTTTTGTAATTATGACTCTATTCCTGTGAAATGAATAAGAGTTGTAACTCAATTTTAGCAACTTGTGTCATAAGATTTTGTATATTTGAAACCTCTAGATGTGTTTCTGAAATAAGTTGTGACTTAGATATCCTAAATAATATTTTTATGCATAACACAAAGTTGGGAGAGTAGCTGTTATATTATTCTTTATTCTAAGTAGGTGAAAAAAGTGCTTTGCTGGTACAATTAATCGTGGAATCCTATTATCATAGTTTTTGAAAGCAGTTAACCTTGGTGCCACTAGATTGTTCACCTTGTCTTCTCTACCATAAACAATATTACAGTATTTGACATAATAATTTTCCTTGGCAACTGTGGCAGGGTGATGCGCAAGCAAGCCAGGCAATTTTTTTTTTTTTTTTTTTTTTTTTTAGCTTTCATCATTATGAACTTGGATTTTTGATAAGGAGAATAGAAAGTGGAACCATCCATTAATTCAACAAGTATTTATTGAATGCCTAGTGTGTGATAGACATCATGTCATGCTCTGGTGAGCAAAAAAACAGATCTAGGCTCATCCTTTGGGAAGTCACGAGAGAGAATAATACAACTGATACTATCTCCAAAGTAAACACATCATTACAAACTCAGATAAGTATTATGAAAGAAAGTTATGTGGTGGTATAAAAAAAGTAACAGAGGAGTCTGATGGCAGCTAGAAGATCAGGAAGGTCTTAACTGAAGAAGCATGAAGTTACCTAACTGTAGAAGTTGGAGAAGAGCAGCATGTGCAATGTGGTGACTGAAACAAGCATGGGACATCTCAGGATGTGAAAAAAAAGGACAGTGCTGGAGTGCAGAGGGTGAAAGGAGAACCACGCGATGTAAGGATGGAGAGTAAGGCGGGAGCCAGACCATGCAGCAGGTAAGAGCTTGTTAAGGATTTGGGTTTTTACTATAAAAGAAGCAGGAAGCTATTGAAGTGTATTAAGCAAAGAGGATGGTTGGATGAAATTATGATTATTCGCATTTTTAGATGACATCTTTGGCTATAGTATGATAGGGATTGGAGGAAGAGAAAAGTAGGTCCTGGGAATCCAGTTAGGAGGTTCCTGTCCTAGGCCAGGCAAAAGATACTGTTAAGGAATTGATGATGGAGATGAAGGAAGTGGCTGGATTTGAGAAATACCTAAGATATAAAATTCCTCAGATTCATTTGGGAAAGAATCTGGTTTGTCAAGTTGGGAGATGCTAAGATCCCTCCCTCAGGTTTAGACTTTCCAAATTTGATGGATGGCAGGTGACATTCATCAAAGCAAAGAACACTAGAATTCTAAAAAGACTTGAAACTATAAACAAATACATGGGACCAAATAAAAGGAAGTGGGAGAATTACACTTTGTGGACCACTAAACCAAGCGCCAGTAATCCTGAATGCTGTGATCTCAAACCTTTCTTTTTTTCCTCTGTAACTTCTAATACGTTTAACAAGAACAACGGTCTATTCCAAGACTGTATTTCCCTCAAAAATAGATTTGGAATGTACAGTAATGGATTAAGATTTTATACCTTGAAATTTTGCTTAAATCTGTTATTAGCTGGACTTAATAAAGAATATGGGCTTTAGATAAGATCACTTTCCTCTTGCTGTACACACAATGTCATGGATGCTTTCCAGTGGATACTTATTGGTGGTGACTGTGATGATGTCATTTAACTTGCATCACTGAGGCCCTATGGAGTATGTAGAAACTGTCAACTTGCATAAACTATTTGCTCATTGTTTTGGATCATCAAAATAACATCAGATCTATAAAAAAAATTACCTTTTACTTTTGATAGGAAGAAAAGATAAAAGGGGCAAAATGGTGAAGCCATGATGAATGTCTTTTGAGTAACTTCACTGCTTTTATCAGTGACTGACTTCTTTTTCAGTGCTATGACAGCAGAAAGTAATGTAAGAGTTCCTTTCTGAATTCGTATCTACTTGAGGGTTGCCAATGGTTTATGTTAAGGGTTAAGACATGGTTTAAGTTTTCTGAGAATATTGTCCTACTTGATGACCTTAGTGTAACCTAGTAAACATAGATGGATGTACATTTAATATCCTAATTTTATCTTGATATTTCAGCAACTATTTGAATGATCTGGCTATCTTTGCATGAATTTTCATTTGCATATGAATGTTTCCATCAGAAATGTAATCATATGCAAATTCAATTGGATTTGCATTAATAGCCTTTTGGCTTAAAAGGGAGGAAAATTCTGATTTTTCTGGATAGGCAAACAAAACTGCATCTAGATACACTACTGTTGCTTGGAGAGGCAATTCAATTGCTAGATCAAATTTGGCCATGCTAGATTTCTATGTCAAGTGTGGTGGGGACAAAAGACATCAAATCATGCGCTCTCTTTAAGGATCCATCTTTGATCATCTTTGTATCCTGGGCATTGAGTATATTGCCTAGAAATTAGTAGGCTCTCAAGGATCATTTATGGGATGAACGTGGAATAAATTATGTCCTTAACACTAATCTTGGTGTAGAGGTCTTTTAGTAAAAGGAAGCATAAAATAAGATACCTGCAGCTGAGCTAGGGACTTAGACCTAATATTCAGGTGACTGTAGAATAATTATTTGATAAACTGTGTAATAGTGGTCATAAATACTTGCAAGAGTTTGATAGGGCTCAGATAAGTATTCAAAAAGGGTTTCATGAAGAAGATGGCACTCAATCATTTAAATCCGTTTGCTCCATTTGGATATTTCTTCATGCTGTATAGATATGCTGTTGTTTATATATCTCATATACCTAGGGTCACTTAAGTGGGCTAGAGTTGAACCTCCCAGAAACTAGGTATCATCAGCATGGATCTAATGTAGTTTTTCCCTGAGGTGCAATAGGTGCTAGTAATATACAGTTTTTCTGCCCAGTACTTCAACATTCACCTTGTCCTAGGAATGGTTCTCCATTTCCCGATTGCCAAGCCTTATGGTACCCAAGGAGCTGCTGTGTTACCACGTGATCCTGCTCCCCTAGCCATAATTGATCTCTGTTGCTCAAGTGAGCCAATCTTAGTCCTCTCTTCTCCAGGCCAACTTGTTGATTGGTCCAGGGTAGCCAATAGATCCAATTAAATTCAATAAATCCCTTCCTTATGATTTTAGGACTTTGTTCCAGAAAAAGCATCAAGGCAGTTTTTAATTTTTTTTCTGCCAAGTGACTGTAGCTATAAAATGTAGAATGAAGGAATTGTTATTTTCCATCTAGAAAAAGAAGATTTATGAAGAGAGAGAATAAAGCAGACATACAGAGAAAAAGCAGACAAGATTGCATGTTCTGACAGTTAATTTCTAGCTCTTCTCGTTCCTGAGGCCGAGGTGCACCTTGCAGCGGTTCTGTTGACCACCTTCCTTAAATTCTGTGAGCCAAGAAACTTCCTTTTCTTCTTGAAGGTATGTTGTGTTTCAGTCTCTTAAAACTACAGTCACCCTAACAGTTATAATACTAGGACAAATGATGGGATTTAATTTTGGTTACTCTCAGAATTGTTGGGAAGAATGAAGTTTTGATTGTATCTGAAAGTTTGTATGTTTGTTTTTACAAAGATTATGCAGTAATGTGTACTGGATACAGGAATGCGGTACAAAAGTAGCAGAAAGGTTGTAGAATTCTTCACTGAATTTTTCTAGTGTAAAATCAACCTCATTTTCCTTCTTTCTGTAATCCTCTTCACTCCCTGGTCTCCTTGGAAGAACTGCCAAAACACACTGACAAAGGATATTTGCATGGTATTTATGATCAAACAATAACAAAAATTCACAAGAAGCCTCAAGTAATTTCTTCCCATACCTTCTCCAGAGATTTTGCATAGTCCTAAAATTTACCGTAATGTCTTGCAAATATCTCTCAACCTTCCCTAAGGTTAGATAACCTTTTCTTTATCAAAAAAAAAAAAAAAAAGAATATCCAGCTTGGACAACAAATCTTGTCTGTATAGAAAGTAAAAGAACTAGCCAGGCATGGTGGTGCGTGCCTGTGGTCCCTGCTACTGGGGAGGCAGAGGTAGCAGAAGTGCTTGAGCTTGGGAGGTCGAGGCTGCAGAGAGCTGTGATCACACCACTGCACTCCAGCCTGAGTGACAGAGTGAGACCCCTATCTCAAAAACAGAAAAAAAAAGAATGTTAATTAAAAATGTTTCCTCATGACCATGTGTATTTTAATATTGTTTGATTGTTAGGGTGAATTT